AACCAGATGACTGACAGCGATTCAGGCTCGATGCGTTATGGAGGGGGTAGGTACAGAAGAAAGATAATCCTATAGAGGGAGTTGAAGGTTTTTTTGAGGGAGGATGAGGGAGGTAGAAAGCATCTGCAGGATTTGCTTTAGAAAGAATTTAAGGTTACATCTGCATCTCTGCAGCTCAAGGGACCTGAAATCTAGTAAGTACAGCACATATTATCAGATACACCATATCAGTGAAGCTAATATGGTTATATGCGTGTAACAACCCATATAAACACACTTATTCCAGAATTAAAGCTTCTTTTTTTTTTTTTTTTTAATAATTTCACAGAGATATTGTATATAGCTGAAATGTTTGGTTTGGTTTTTTTGTTGGTTTTTTTTTTAAGAATAAAAAACAAAACTGTATTTTTCCAGTACAGTAAATAATGCATAAATTTTATGTAAATGTAGCTGTTTAATTCAGCCCTTAGAGTGTCCTGGTATATTTTCAGCATGTGCACATCTCTTAAGTATACTGTTTTCCTTGCTATAAGGTTAATATTAGTTAGAAATGGAGACCTGCTGGAGATAACACCAATTGCAGATGAGCTTAGCTAAAAGCAAAAGCTACAGTCTCTCAGATAATACCACAAGACAGCTTGAAAGGCTAATATATCATGCAAATGGTGGACTAGAATCACTTAGGCATGGATGGTCTGTGGGCTGTACAGAAGGAGTGAATCTTTCTGCATTCAGCTGCGCGTGTGTGTGTGCACCTCGCTCCCCCTCCACCTGCTCCTCTCCCTCTGTCTCTCCCAGACAGGCGAACAGACCTGCTCCTTCCTTTGTGTTGCCAGTCAGGTCCTCCCTCTGCAGTCTTACACAGGAAGAAGATTTATAACAGCTGCATGCAATGCCAGTGTCTCAAAGAGACAGTATCACGCCATGTGGAGGATTTTTGTTTGGGGTTTAAGTTTTCTCCACTGAATTGGAAAGGTACATTTTTAAAATCCTAAATATTTTAAACACTTAATTCCTGTAGCTTTTATTTGCTGGTAAATTCTGACCTCCAAATCTTTAAATCACAATCTGTTGTCACAGTATTGTAATGGCTGTGATGTCTTAATTGAAAACATGAGGATGTAAGGATTTCAAAAGTATAATTAGGGTACATTTCAATGTGAAGCTGTAAGTGTTGTTCCGTAAGATGGGCATCTGATATTTCTGACATACTGTATCAGAAATATAAGATTCAAACTAAAAAATGAAAATACAGCACACATGCAGTGCAACTGTGTACCATATGTTAAGAAATGTGCACCTCTTAAACATTGGACTAATTAGCTAGAGAAAACAGAGATGTCTGAATAATGATGCTCGAAATAAGAAGGATAATGAAATCTTGAGACAGACTTGTGTAGGAGATCCACCTGGCAGCAACTTGCCAGGTTTAGCAAATTAAATGAAATCAAAGGAAAATTTATAGTTGTGAAAAAATGAATGTAAAAGCACTACTTCTCTTTGTTTTAAGCTCTTGGTGGCCTGCTTCTTACCTTCCTGATTAGTGGCATTTATTATAATTAATGGTGAGTGAAGCATCAGAGTCAGAGAAGCCCAAAAGCTTAGACATGTTCCCTAGGCTTGGAGAAAATTTCTATGAAATTTGACAAGGGATAGTTTCTTGGGGTATCTTTCTTTCCAGGTACTAGGAAGAATACAAAATTAAAATAAATTTCCTTTTGGCATTTCACCTCTTAGCCTCCCTACTTCTCAAAAATTAATAGACAAAGTTGAATTATTTGATTTCAAGAAATCCCTTAAAGGGCTAGCCCTTGTTAGTGTCTAGGTTCAATATAAATAGCAGATTCCTTTTTCAGAGGATCATACAATCTGGAAATATAAACCCTGGAAAAAAAAATCAGGAATAGAGGCAGTTGCACTATAAGAAGTAAAACATTTGCAGCAGGCCATGGTAGGGAAGAATCTGTATCTAGTTCTTCTAACTCAAATACATGCTCTAGTTTCCTTCTTCTACCCTGTTTTATCTCATCCCCTAAGCAGCAAATCTAAACATGTTGCTCAGGATTTGCCTTAGGACTTCTCTTCCCAGGATCAATGAGCTCCAGAAGAGTGTTCACCAAATTCACTTGCTGTTGATTTTCAGTGGCAGGAGGTCCAAGACATGCTTACTCTTCTATTTGGAGAAATATAACCAAGATTTAATTCCACTATTCACTCATGCCTGAAATATTTCCTCTGGTTTTCTCAAATGTTAGTATGTCCACCCAGAACCTCTTTTGTTGCCTTTGAGATCTACTATTACCCAGTATTTTCATTACAACGCTTACTGTTGTTCCTCCTGATAACCAGCGTCCTTGCCCTTCAACTTCTACAGCTAATCCACTGGTAGTTTTGGTTGATGGAGCCTGCAAATGGGCTGACATAAAGGATTCCTGTCCCAGTCGCATGTTAAGTTCATATGCTTACAGCTGTTTAATCTGTAACACTAACTGTATCCATTCTAGTGTGCCAGGAATATATATATATTTATATATATACTATATTTACCCAGCTTGGAGTAACATTAGCAAAAGTGCTATGGCATCAGGGAATTGTCTGCTCCCTCACTACTATACAATTTGTTGTTGTTGTTGTTGTTTAAGGAAGCTTAGAGCTGATAACAGAAAGGCTTCCACAGAATGAGCTTGTAACCTAACAGCCTCCAGAAACTGTTCATAGCTGTGGTCTGCTATTTTGTTTTTAGTGTAGGACATAATTTTCTCCCCTGCTAATTAAATCTGAACTATTCACATTAAGTTCTTTCTGCAAAGTAATCTAATCCAACGCATAAATCTATGCACACTATTTACATATGAAATGAAACCTCAACATTTTTTAAGTTTACATGTACACCATGGTGGTTAGATGTCATTTTTGATATAGGAAACAGTATTCATACTTTCCCTTTTCCTCTCTGGTCCACTGAGGTTTACACTGACTAAATATGTCACAACTTTTGAGAACTTCTTGGGACAAGATTCGGACAGCATCTCATTGAAATCTGTACTGAAAAGGTGATGGTGCTTCCTTGAGAAGTACCAAACACAGCAAACAACAAGGAGGGGCAGAGGCTATACAAAAGGCTTCAGTGTGCATGTACCTGTACAAATACAGAGACACAATGTCTAAGCATGCATTAAGCCTGTATAGCCATAATGCTATGTAAAGAGAGCTTGACTTCCAGCACTGGACCTCTGGTTATGACACTGCTTGACAGCTAACAGACTTCGTTCTCCTCGGTTTGCCTGGTCTTAACTAGCACACTGCCAGACAATGCCCAGTCACGGGGATAGCATTTGCAAGGAATCTCTCCCAATACCCAACATCACCCTTGATGGTTTCTCTGAAACTATCTCTGAAGGTTTGGGACCTTGACACACACCTCCTCCCACACACACAACATGCAGCAAATTCTGTTCCATAGTAGAAAACCTTCTGTGTTAAAAGCTGCAATATGACCCTCACATTATTTCAGACACTTTGTCCCCTTGGGGTGACACTCAAGGCCAAGTGTTATGTATTACGCCTGCAGCCATTGTGTGCCATTTAGCCTCGCAGCCAGAAAACAGCCCTTAGCCCTATTTTATCTATTGATGTATATAGCCAACAAGACTTTCTGAGTTAAAAGTTAGGGAACACTGAATGAGTGCAGTGTTGAGCCAGGAGAAAAAAGGAAAACTAAACAAATGGCCAATGTCTCATGTATTTGTCAGCAAGGTTAAAAAAAAGGTACAGACCATATGAGAGAAAAATGTTTGCTTCCCTCTGTGCCTCAAAGCACCAAAATATCTCAGTGGAATAAACTGAGTTTTTCTACAGACTTGTCACACCACAACAAAATGCTTAATCTCCAGAGAAATCACAGTCAGGCAGCTAATGCTCAGTTGTCTAGGAGAATATTCATGTTCAAGTACAAGAGTACAGTCAAAGAACAAAGACCTTCCCATGCAGTTTATGGTGATGAATGCAATGATATAAGTTCCCTCTTTCAATGTCAGAGATAAATATGGTGTTTAGAAAGGGGAAAGAAAAAAACAACCACTTCACAACCTTAAACCTCATCCTACAGGAAGTTTGGATTAAAGTGTACTGATTAAATATATACAGCTGCAAGACCATCAGTGATGCCACCAATGTGCTTTATATGAGATATGGAAATATTTAGCCAGTCTTAGTCTCAACTAGAGGATGTGAGCTGAATTTTGAGGCAACAATATATGGGAATGCATATAATTCTAGAAATTCCACATAAGAATAAAATCTCTTATGGCTCACAACATGTAACAAGAAATGCTAGCAATGCTATAGTGTTTGCAAATAGGGTTTGTAAAAGAAATGAAGCTGTGCAATAGAAAGTTATTGGCCCATCAAACTAAACTATTGAGACTGTAACCTCAGCAAGGACTTAGCTGATTCCAATCATCAAATGTACTGTTGGCAATGACTGATATAGACACAGCATTAAAAATTGTGTTAGGTAATGTCCAAAAGACAAAATATGTCGTATGTACTGATACATACTTGAGAACAAATAGTATCAAATACTACTATACAAAACACTATAGTAGCATATCAATTCAGAATACAACCCAGAATGCTCATAAATAAAACTTCAACCCGTGTTCATAAAACTGCTAAAAGTAGCATCATGCTCTTCATGTTCTTCATGTAGTTAAGACATGTACAACAATTGTGTTGTAGTCCCATGAAATCTGTAACTCACAGTTGCAGAGGTTAAAAAGTTCTTTTCGAAACAGCCACAGATAATAGTCAAATACTCCTTCATCAAGTCTGGGAAGTTTAAAATTCCATTCTTATAATCTAGATGGTTCCAATATGTTAAAATTGTTGATAAATCAGGGCATTATGCACTTTTGGAAAACAGCACCAATGAAGAATTCTTTCACATAAAAAGAAAAAGAGTACACAAAACAAGTTTCTATAAGTTTCAGAAATAAAAGTTTGTGTTTTTTCTTTTAATAATGATATAAGATACTTTAGGTTGGAAGGCACTTCAGGAAAGATTTAGGGTAAAATCTTGCTCTAAATAGAGTTGCATAGAGATTTACACAACCTGGTCTTGAAAACATCAAAGTAGAGTTTGTATACCCTCTCTAAGTAACCTACTTCACTTATTGGGTGTCCTCATGCGTTATACCCAGCTGGAAACATTATTTTTCTCATTCATGTCTATAGTTTCTTGTTCTCTTGACAGGCATCACAGGAAAACCTGTAACAGTCGTTTTATAACCTCCTCCTAGGTAGTGGAAGGCTTCTGGACCCCTCAAAACTGTGTCTTCCTCAGACTGGAAAATTCTATTTCCTTCTTCAAGGGCTTTTGTTCCCTAAGTCTGTTGTCCATTCATCCCATAGGTTCCTCCAAATGGCAGCCTGCCCCTCAAGTCCTTCAGCTGTAGCCTCCATATGCATTTCATCTGAAAATGAAAATATTGATGAAAATCACATGGTTCCTCTGTTTCAGGTTCCCAGAAGTATGTTCCTAGAGTATTTGCTCTGGATATTTGCTAGGGATTGAAGTAAGGCTGAGCTGTCTTTAGTTCTCTGGGTTGTCCTTTTGGAACCTTTATAAAGTTTTAATACAGCTTGTCAGACCTATGAGTGTTTATGAGTTGAGTTCTCATAAGTAGTTTCTGACTTGATCTTTATCCACTGCTGTTCTTCCCTCTCTTCTCTCACATTAAGCACACAGGCCTCAAAGAATAAGACCCTGAGAACTTCTGCCTTACCAATTGCTGAAGGCCACTGTTGCTGAATCAGCCTTTTTATTCAGCAATCAGTGCATACATTTTCCTTTGTCAAGCTTTTATCAGTAATGTACAAGTTCTTCTTGTTGCCTTGATGTCCCTGGCAAGCCTTGATTCCATTTGAGCTTTGGTTTCCCTGACACCATCACTGCATACTAATGCAATGTTTCAGAAATTCCTCTGAAGCCTATCCTTGCTTCCATCTCCTTTATGTTGCCTTTTCCAGTGGATCTCTGTCTTGAGCTGGTCTATTGATAAATGTACTTGATTTCCTGACTATCAGCATGAACATTCATAGGCTCGAAAAGTGATGTCCTTACAGACTTGCTAGATTCCTTGAACTCATTGGCTTGTCAGAGCTGCCTCCCATAGAATCCTACCTTTCAACTCCCCAGATAAGCTGAAGTCTGCCCTCCTAAAGTACAGGCTCTTTACTGCACAGCTTGCCTTCCTCTGCCTCCTCAGGATTTTGAACTCCACGGTTTTGGTGTCGTTACAGCCATGGTTTCTATTGATTATCATAGTCCCAAAGAGCTGTTGCTAGCTAGTGAATGCCAGAGTCACCGTGTTGGCCCTTCCAGTCTCTGTATCATGAGTTTACCTCAAATACAATCCAGAAGCCTCCTGGATAGCTTGCTTCTCACCACAGTGTCCTTCCAACATATGTTAAAGTTCCTATAAGAACCACCATCATAGGATCCAAAGACTTTGTTGAATGTTTTAAGTAAGCTTCATCCATCTCAGCATTGTTCAGTTGATCAGTAACACACTTTCGCCTCAATGTCACCCTCACTGGCCACTCTGAGACCCAAAAATTCTCTCATGCAGCTTTAATATATTTTTTAATACCATGTCTACATCAGTCTTGTTAATAGTTTGTTTGCTGAGTGGAATCAACTAAATCCTTGTTGGGCTTCCAGTCTTGATAGTCTAGCTTGATGGGCTGATACATTTTCTCTGAATGTTTCATTAAAAATAAAATATTTTTTAAAACTCAGAACAACTTTTGAAGTTTCATTTGCAAATAAAATTCTGTTAGAATTATATCTATAGCCACAAAACTGTTACACTTATGATAATATAGTACTATCATCTGTTTATTTGAAGTATTTATATGATACCTGGCATGCTATTTAAATATTTTGTAAGAAATTATTAGAGGGTGAAGAACAGGCACTATACAAGGTGCCTAGACCACCAAGTCCACTTGATCCGCAAGTCCAAGCAACAAGATCCTTTCAGAACTGTTCAAAGACAAGTTAGTCATTACTGTTACCTTGGGGGAGGGTTGTGGATGTGGCAGTGTTGGTAGAAAATTTGATATCCAAGGTAAAAATAGTGTCCTAAATATTTTGCCCACAGCATTTTTGTGAAGCAGTGATAAAGAAGGATAAAACCACAAGAGCATTCTCTTAAATACAGCAACTAGGTGCTGTAGTGACTTCAAACCACTTTTGAAAAGGAAAGGGAGAAACTCTTTCTACTTTATTATGAAAATGAATACACGAGATACTGAAATGTGCCAGCTTAGTGCACCAGCTTGCAAGGTCATACAGCCAGTAAGAAGGGGGATTACAGGCCTAAACCTTAGACTAACTAACATAAGCTCCTGACTTAGGCAGAAGAGACTCAGATATTTAACAGATTTGCAATAAAATTAATTGAGAAAGTAATGTAGAGGCTGTCAGTGTAAGGTAGGATGTGAAGGGGAAAATGAATATGTACTCTTTTTTTCATTTTCGTTTAGATTCTCAGAGTAGATTAGTCTGGCTTACACATAGCTGTATATTTAGCTATGGTGACAAATATTGCCTAACAGAGAAATATTTCACAGTTAACACAGCCTCTTTCCCAAACAGTAGGCCTTATAAATAAAGAAAAACTGGCAAAATAATTCAGATTCATTAATATTGGAGGAAGAAGAGAATTACAAAGGATTGTTCATGATAAGGACAGACTGGCAGGCTAACCAGTGAACCAGCTAATCAGTTTGGGTAACCAATTAACTAAGATTCTTGTTTTCTTGATGACACATTTCGTTCTGTTAAATAAACTCACTGCCTTTCCAGCTGGTCAGTTATATTTCTCTTGAAGCCTAAAGGTTCTCAGTACATAATTAAAGGCAAGGTATGACTATAGTCTCCAAATACATGAAAAGCTGACACACAAAGGAAAGGAGCAATTTGTTGTCTGCATCACCAGTAGATGAGGCTGAAAAATAAGGGGCTTAAGTTATAGCAAAGTTAGGTGTTAGGAAGCAAATTCCAATGCTAAGGATAGAAAGAACCAGAAAGCTAATGGCATGGGAGATTGTAAATACTTAGTCTCCGGAGATTTTTAGAACAAACATCAGTCAGATGGGTATAAGCATAGTTCAGTTTGCTTTAGAGCAGAGATATGGAAGAGACACTCTTGAGGTCCTTTTCAGGCCTGTAGTTCTATTATTTAAAGCCTGCTTCAAAGACTAACAGTCTTTAATGTGTTTCAAATGGAATTACATCTTGTTCAGATAGTTGTGAAATATTCAAATGAAACATAAGTTTCATTAAAACCTGGAAAGTGAAATGAGTACACTAAAATAATCTCTCGAGTAGCTCTTTGACCTCTTATGTTTTTCCTTTTGGCTTACTCCTGCCATCATGCTCTAGAAAGCTGCAACCTGATAAAAAAATACCTGGATAGCTGGCAATGACTCAAACTCATCCAGCTGTGTTCATGCTTGACCTGTCTTTTCTTAAGCAACTTCATCTCATTTTTTTACCAGTCATTAAGCTTATTGACTAGTGTTTAGAGACCAGTAAGTGACAAGCTTAAAGATAGTAAATTACACAGAAAGTCTGTGTACAAGTGAGATATGTTGCTTGTTAATGGTAGCACTTTTTCTACTACACCTGGCCCCATCTCTGAACAGTGGATGTATTGACACCCAGCATATTGCTTCTGAAAGTTGGAATTTGAATAGATTGTGCCAAGTAATGAAATATTAGGAAACAGGACATCCACTACTACTTGCTTACCGGTCCCAAGTAAGACATAATCCTTTTCCTCCAGTTTCCATTTTTCAGTCACTAAAATGCTTTGTAGTTTTTTCCTCCAGATTCAGCTGGAGCAGTCATGATTGACTTCTTAGCTGAAGTCAGCAGCAAGGGGACAAGCTTCTTCCTCACCATTAGATAATACTGTAATCAATAGGAATCATTTGCCCTCTTAAAAATAGGGAGCATTTTCTAAGGGGAAAAAAAATTCACTGTCCATAGAAAATTGCATAAGCCCATTCCAGCTCAGTTAAGCACTGGGGATTCTTCACTTTGTACCAGAACATAAAAAAGTTCCTCTCTGTCTAGCTTTGCTATTCCATAGATAACCTCTTTTTTACCTAATGCAGATTTATTTAATTTTAACTTTTAATACATTTCAGTGAAACAGACTTCCACCAAAGAAAGAGTAATGAGAACTCTTGAAAGTCTAAATAGATAAGAATTTTCAACTTGCTAATTAGGAAAAATAAACACCTAGGTTTAAAGGTAGTAAATCCTGTCACATTGAAATCACATGATTACTATAACACTTCATAGTATCAAATATTCAGAAATTACATATTATTGGTCCTGTTTTTGTGAACAGTGCAGACTTTCATTAACAGCAGTGAACTTGCACTTCTGTGCATTGTTACAATGAGTGAATTTATACCAGAAGAAAATCAGGAAATTCACAATAAGGGCCAATATAATTAGTTACACAATGAGTGGTGTTAAAGATGCCAGCCCATACATGTCTAAGTATGAATTTTACAGAAATGGGAGCATTCCAGCTTCAGTTAAACTATTCAGAGACTTCAAGATTCAGAGCACTGTATTAACTCAAAAAAAGAAAAGTAGGTTAAGACAAAGTGAAATATCACATTCAAAGAAAAATTTGAAAGAAATAGATTGATTATCTTTTTCAGCCATATTGTATGTCATAGGAAAAATATATTACCAAAATACTGCGGAGAAAAGAGTGATTTGGAAAATAATTCAGTGCATAAGAATTTCTAGATTATGTTTAATGTTCTTCAGAATTTTCTACAGAAAATTCTGTACAGTTAGTCACCTGGGGTTTGATTCAGATTAAGAAAAAGCAAACCTTACCTTTTTTTAACTTTTAAACAAGTTTGGCCACTTCTCTAGTCTAGAGTAGATTCTGCCTTAACAGACACAATGCAATGCTTCCAGAGGGAAATACATGCCTCTTCTTAAACTCCTTTCTTAGGAACCTCTAAAAAATGATTTGTCCCATCTTAGTTCTTTCTATGGCCTACTGAGGAAATCTAGAAAATTAACTTAACCAAGTTACCTATATACTACTAAAGGTCAGTTTTCTCTGAAAGTCTTTCTGTAGATTGTTCTTGTCAAGTTCCACAACTACAGTATTGTATAGGTAGGTAAATAATAAATTGTAAGTAAGCTAAACTTCTAAAGTAAAATAAAAGCTGAGTTTCCATCAGTAACAATCTTCTGGACTCAAGTTTATGACTGTCTTATTGCAGTGGGGTTAATTCATTGTGCTGGTACAGCTTTGCTAGGGCAATGTGCAAACTAACAAGTTTGCTATAATAATCAAACATGAAAAAAATTATGAACCTAAGTTAGTTCTAGAGTACTACAAAGAATTAAAGATATTAGAAAACACGAGAATATCATCTCCTCTGAATGATACCATGGTGCTGATTCTCGTGGTAGGGAGCCCTTCCTTGCTGAAGGACTTGCAACACCATGTGCACAGTAATATTTCTATTTGCTTTCAGAAACAGCTGAAGAGAAAAAAATAGTGCAATTTTGAGTTTCTCTGTATTAAAAGTCTGTAGAAATCTGTTCTTTATTTGAAGTCTGTAAGAAACCACAAGCAACTCCATATGTGCCTTCCTTTTGTGCTTTGTCCTTTTTATTTTGCAGTATGTAAAGTCACCACTGGAACCCAGTGACAGATCTTGATTAACTGTGCTTAATCTATTTCCACAGAAAAATTGACCAAAGAAAATGTTCTAAAACAAGATAATAAAATATTATCATTTCTTCACTCTCATTTTATTAAATATGCTCATCTTATGTGCAAAGTAAGCCTATCCAGTTGGCATCTTTGTGATGAGACAGAATGCATAAGGAAAAATTGGTTTCGAAACGTATGTATACATTTTCTGTCTGCAATGGTAATCTTACTGACAGACATTTGTCACTGATCATTCTGTTGCGGTACAGTATAATTTGTACTCCTTTTCTCTTTGTTACTGGAAGTTAAATGGGAAAATAGATAACTGTAGAAAAGACTGTGACTTTTTTTTTTTAACTACCATTCATCTCTAAGTCAGCTCCAAATGCAGGAATGCCTCCCAATATCCATTAAGCCCTTTGTGATTGTATTTTTTGTTTTCTAGCACAAGAACAGAGATATACAATGAATTCAAGAGGGGGCAAATTTCATACTGCTAAAACGAAACTTTCACTCTGTAACAAGCCTTTAATTTTTATCAATGTCATGGAATGTTGTTGAAGGTTATAGTTGAGCAAGTTTTAGATGGTAGTTAGATATTTATATGCCTAGCAGGAAAATAAAAATCTAGTCTCAGAATATTTACTAACAACAGTAGAATTTTTGAAAGGGAGATCAAAATTCACATTTCAGGCCTTAAGGAAATCAGACTTAGGGAATAGGCATGAGCCATTTAATGAAGCAATTTCCCCATGGTTTGCATCACACATCTTCCTGTGGGAAACTTGTTGCTAGCCCTCAGAGTCTGAATGATGGACCTAGACAAGCTGTTTTAGCAGGAGGATTCCTGCGTTCTTACGTAAAACCCTGAGAAAGTGCCACTAATGGTCTCTATCTACCCTAGTGCACAGTATGTTTATCCCTAGAAAGACGATAGATGTGCTGGAGTAAGGAAAGAGCGTTGGAAGCTTGGAGCCGAATCAGTCTTCTTTTATAACCAACAGAATGCAAAGAAGAAAAACAGCTCAAGGGATAACTTACAACAAACCCAAAAGTTGCATCCTATTATCACTCACAATATATAAGAAAACTCCTTGATATCTCTGGTGGGTTGACCCTGGCCCATCAAAGGCCCACCAAGCATCTCAACTGGACTGTGGACTAGGGAGAAGAAAATAAAATAAAAGACTTGTGGCGTGAAATAAGGATAGGGAGATCACTGTAATGGGCAAAACAAACTTGACTTGGAGAAATGAATTTAGTTTATCAACAATTAACAATTAGGTAGGGTAAGAAGGAGTAAGACCAAATCCAAAATCATCTTCCCTTCTCATCCCTCTTTCTGAGCTCAGCTTCACTCAGATTTCTCTACTTCCTTCCCACAATAGGTGCAGGGGAATGGGGGTTGTGGTCAGTTCATTACAGATTTTCTGTGCTGCTAATTCCTCCTTGCACTCTCCCCTTGCTGCAGTGTGGGGTGCCTCTACAGGAAAGTCCTCCAGGGTAAGTCCTTCCCATTCTCCACAGTGCATGTCCCTTCCACAGGGTGCAGCACTTCAGGAAGAAGCTGCATCAGCACAGGTGCCCCACAGGGTCACAAATCCTGATGGCAAGCCTGCTCCAGAGGACATTCCTCTCTCTATGGGCCACAGGTCCTATCAGAAGCCTGCTCCAGTGTGGGTTTCCCATGGGGTTCTCCACAGACTGCAGGTGGATCTCTGCTCCACCAGGCACCTCCTGCAGGGGTACAGCTGCCTCACCATGGTCTGCACCACTGGCTGCAGGGGGAATGTCAGCACTGACCTTGGTGTCTGCAAGATCATTTCTCTTACGTGTTCTCATCCTCTCTGTGGTTGCTGTTGTGAAGCAGTTTTTCCCCACTTCTTATCTGTGTTATCCCAGAAGTGCTGCCAGTGCTGCTGATGGGCTCAGCCTTGGCCAATGTTGTGGGTTCTTCTTGGAGACAGCTGGTGTTGGCTTTTTGTACATGGGAAAAGCTTCTGGCAGCTTCTCCCAGAAGTCACCCCTGTAGCCACCCTGCTACCAAAACCTTGCCACATAAAGCCAGATAATCCAGGATCTTTTCATGTCCATAACCTTTTTCTATTAAATACATGTTATCATACATCCTGCATCACTGACCCCAACTCGACTGCCACACCTCACCTGCTACACAAAGATCTCAAAGGGTGCATTTGATACATTTTTATTCTGATATGCTGTAAAAAACTTTCCAACATACTTTTTCTTCATCCCTGTGGTATTAATTTAGGACTAACATAACTCCATTTATTTAATTTAACTCCATGTACATATTCCATGTATGAAAAACTACATACTCCATGTAAGTTATCTTTATATATATATTTGTTTGTATATGATTTCATATATTATATATTATTAACTTGTATAATACATGTATTAAATATAGAATATTTACTATATGTATTTTTGTATTGTTCAATATGTTATATGAATTATAATCTGAGTTTGGTGAGAAAACTGGGAAGCTAATCTGTAGGCATAGATCTGGAATGCCATCTGAAGCATTTCTGTAGAGTATTCTCCAAATATTGAACCAGTTTTCGTTGTGTAAGTGTGAAATTTCTTCAGGATGTAATCAAGAGGCAGTACATAGTTGGCTAGAAAATAAGAGCCTGGTGGCAATAGAACAATCTATCTGTCTTCTTCAGCTATACTCTTGATTTGAGCATTCTTCCAAGCTCTCTATTCATTTTTCTTTCATTTTTTTGTAAACTTATACAACACAGAAATTCTCCCTTTCTCTCCTCACATATTTTTCTTTTTAAAATTCTCTAATTCCTTTAATTTCCTTAATTTTGCTATTTTAAAATTAGTTTATTTTCTTTGGTATCAATGCAAAATATGGTCTAAACTTGATCTTCAGTTGCTTCATTTGCATGCTTCATCATTGGCCTTCCCTTGCTTTTTCCTTTATCAGCTTCATCCAAAATGCTGGTCTAGTAATCATCTACATTATGGACAACCTCTATTATGATCTATTCATTAACCTCTCATTATCCCCGTTCCTGACTTCCAAACTCTGCATAACTCCACTCTCATTATTGGCAATTTTCTTTGCAATTTCTTAACTTTGTCCTTGTATCCTCTAAGTCATGTGCCCTCCGATTTATTCTTTCATTCCTGTCTTTAGGCCTCAAATTTTGAGGAGTCTTTGAGTCAAGGGTGAACATATAAACCAAAAGTGAAAGTGCCTGCAATCAAACTCCCTCATGAACAGTCATTGAAATAATTAAAAATCTGAAGAGTGAATTTTCAAAGATTGTCTTCACACTCCCTATTATATTTTCTACCCTGTTAAAATACTTTGCGTTTTTGGTTTCTGTAGTTCTCAGGGTGTTATAAAATATGAATAGGCCTTGTTAGCCTATTAGTACTGTAGTACTAAGGTAGGGTAAACCTATGTGAGCAAGGCCAGTATCTTGCTAAAGGCTAAATTGCAAAATATCAGCAGAAATTATATTATATAAGATTAAATTAGATTGTAATATCATAAACCTGGATTATCTACCTGAGTAGATAATTCCAGATTAACATTTTCTATCAGATGTTCATGTTAAATTAAATACATCCTTTTCTACTCTAAGGCAGCAAGTTAGGAAAGCATTGCTCATCCTCCACTGAGATACGATGGTATTGTACTCAGAGAAGCAGGGAGTATTCTTGTGTTCAAGGCTAAAGATATTTTCCTTTCAAGATGCTGCCATGGAACACAATCAGGATCAAAACTCACTATTGAGATCAGTAATAGAAAAGAGTACTTTCTTACAGTCAGAAGGACTTTTTTCCTTCACTGCGATTGCAGCTGAGATTGGTGAACCAATACTGGCCTTCAGATATATTAAATTATGTTTCATTGATGGCGAAATCTAGTTTCCAGCTAATACTCCATTTAGTAGATGGCTTAAAGTGCACCTTAATCTGCATCGTGCCCCAAGTTTGACATTATTTGTGTAGGGCATCGCAGGTTGATAGTATTTTTTTCTGCTGACAGGCACAGTTCTCTTCTCCATTAAAGCTTATGGATATTTATAACTCAAAGTGTTCTTGTAGTGGCTGGTAATATAGAACACTTCTCTGCAGTCTACTATTTGACAGTTTCTACTTACTGAGATCTAACTGATGAGAACATCTATAGCTCTTTTGGTTACCAGATAGTTGTGCCAAGGTGATCCCGATCCCTGAGCTGAGGAAGCAAAGATACAAAAACCTATTTTCTTACCCAAATTCATGTCAGAGTCTTTCTAGAAGCAATACACACCACCTTACTGAGATAAATAGCAAACCAGCTCTAACTTCTTCATCACTTTTTCCTGGTTCTTCAAAATAAATATAGACTTCCAACATCCCAGACTACAACACTGCCTACATAGATATAAAGCAAAATACATTTTCTTCATGCTTAAGAACATGGAAACAGTATAAAACTCCAGTGTATTAGGAAGCAGAAAATTAGATTTAGAATAAGGGAATCATAGGAAAGATCTTTAAATTATTTCATCTAAGCTTCTACTAAAAGCGGCAGAATCATATCCTAAAAACCTTCATGAGAAGAGAATCCATAACTCTGTGTAATCTTAGTGCTGTGCTAAACCACCATTTTCCAGCATTCCAGTGCTAAAAAAAGTATCTATAATGCCCTGCTTGAACCTTCCAACCTATAGTTTGTGGTTGTTGCCTGTCAGCAAGTCCAGGTAGAGAATGAATATTGAATGGTTTGGGTTGCAGAGGACTTAAAAGATGATCTGGTTTCAACCCCCTGCTCTAGGCAGGGATGCCATCCTCTAGACCAGGGTGCTTGTGGCCCCATCTGACCTGACCTCAAGCACTGCCAGGAATTGGGCATCCTCAAGTTCTCTGGGCAACCTGTTCCTACGCCTCACCACCCTCTGGGTAAAGAATTTCTTTCTAACATCTAATTTAAGCCTGGCCTCTTTCAGTTTAAAGCCATTCCCCCTCATCCTGTCACTATCTACCCATATGAAAAGTCCTCCCTCTCCCCCTCTTAAGGTACTGGGAGAGCCAGTGAGATCTCCCCAAAGATCTTCGCTTCTCCACATTGAAGAACAACCCCAGCTCTTTCAGCCTGTCTTCATAGGAGATATCCTTTTTGACAGACCCTTTCCAGTTCCTCCACATCAGCCCTGAATGGGGGGACCAAAAGCTGAATGCAATAGCAGAGACGCGGCAGTAGATGATGCGGTAGAAGTGAAGAATAAGTTCTTTTGATCCTTTCTAGTAGAGAAAATTCTCCTTACTTAACCCGGTATGTAGTTTGCCTGCTATGTGATGAGAACACACGGGGTCTTAGATTCAGCCCAGGATTTACTACACCTGCATGGCCACTTGATCATCTCATAGCTGTATTGAATTATTCTGCTCTGGAAACAACTTTGAACTACTCATGTGTGAGCTGCATAGGCATCCTTTTGGCCCAGTTCTCCAGCATTTTAAAATCAGTTGAAGCTTTACTACTTATTGTGTGAACCAAATTTAATATCTTCTATAAATTTACTGAGAATAATTTTCTCATCATGGAGGTTGTTGACAAATGTACCAGTTGTGGAGCCATTGTCACCCTGCCTAGGTCTTGTGCTCATTACCAGATTCACTGAATATCACGTCTGATTCCTACCCTCTGAGCACTGAAGTCCAGCCAATATTAAGCCTACCTAAAAGTGTAACTTACAGGTTGGAGTGCTCTGAGGTGTTTCCAAAGCCTCAGAAAAGTTAAGGTGTGTTACATCTGCTATCACCCCTTCACTCATATTGCTAGTCACTTTATCACTGAAGATAATAGAGATAATAAGCATGATCAGTCCTTAATAAACCTTTGTTACTTACTTGCCTGTCACGGTGCCTTCCCAAGGTCTCTGGCAGTCCAGTACCCTTGGCACTGCAGGCAGCAAGGGCCACGTTCACATACCACTGCAGGCAAGAACTATGGCCTGTGGGCCTGAAGCCGCCAGACAGGATGAGGTGCGTGACAACAGTGACAAAAGCGAGGAGTGGTCCTTTCGGGGGTATCCACGTTCTGAGTTTATTAGAAGTCTGAGGAGACAACTAGGGCCAGACGGAAGATATGCCCCAAAAGGCACCCATCACTGTGTGCACGGCCATTTTATATGGGGTAGGTAACAAGGGGAGGGAACAACAGTCAACCAATGGGATAACAACTGGGGGTGGGAACCAAGGTGATAAGCAGGGGAAACATCCAATGGGGTGAGAGGGAGGGAGGGGACCCTGGAGACCAGCCTATCACCCGAGGCCCTGGGTAGAACTTTCTAGGTGAAAGGGAGGGGCCTCAGAGTAATGGACAGGCCTTGGGGAGGGGTCAGGGGAGTGACTCAGCATAAATGAACCAGTTGGGTAGAGGGAGGGATGAATGGCAGACGGAGGGGGGAGGAGAAGAAGGCAGGCTGGACCATTTAACATAAAGAGGGGGAGAGGGAGCAACCATAAGTGGGGGAAACTTAAACACACCCCAACACTTGCCCTTTAATGTTTAACCCAAGACAGCAACTAAGCACCATGCAGTCGTTCACTCGCTCTGCCCAGTGCAGGATGGAGAAGAGAATAAGAAGAGTAAAAAATGAGAAAAACCTGTGGATTGAGATGAAAAAAGTTTAATAACAATAAAAACAACAACAATAATATAAGAAAATGAAAAAAAATATTAATTGAGAAAATAGAACCCAAAAGAGACAAGTCATGCAAGTGAAAATAGTTGCTCACCATCAACTGACCAATGGCTAGTCAGTCCCTGTGCTGAGGGCCCCTCATCTTTATATGCTCCTCATCTGTATAGGCTGAACATGATACCATATGGTGTGGGAAATCCATTTGGTCATTTGGGATCAGCTGTCCTGATCATGTCTCCTTCTTGTCTACCTCCTCACTGGTGGGGTGGGGAGAGTAGCAGAAAATACCTTGATGCTGTGCAGACACTACTCAGCCATTACAAAAGCATCCCTCTATTATCAACACTGTTTTGGACACAAATTTAAAATACAGCCCCATACCAGGTACTCTGAAAAAAACCCTCATCTCTAGCCAAGGTTTTTCCACCTCTATCCGGGGTTTTCCAAACAACTGTTCAGAAAAAACCTCTAAAAATCTGGTTTTAGGAACTGAGATTAATCTGAATAGTCTGTAACTCCCAGATGGTTCCTCCTACCATTTATAATGCTTGGCATAATATTTTCTTTTTCTTTTTTCATTTGTAAGGGGCTTTTTCCAGATTGCCTCAAATTTTTTTGGCCACAGGTAAGTAGCAGCTTTACAGTCACCTCAGCTGTGTGCTTCAGCAGTTTCAGATGAATCTTGTCCAGGTCCAGAGATTTTAGTACATCAGGATCCTTCAAGTAGCCCCTAGCCTGAAATGATTCCACTCTTGACTGCTTTTCTCCTTCCCAAGATTGACTGGCTTGATGCAGGGATCTGGTCTCAGGCTTTTCCTATAGGGACTGAAGTAGGGAGGTGGGGAAAACACCACTGTTATCGGTGTCATCCATCACTGGGCTTTCTCCTCCCTTTTGTCAACAGTGCCACATTTCCTCTGAATTTTTTGCTTTGAACCTTTTTCTGTGAGCGAACTGACAGAATTTCTTCTTGTTACTCCTTGTGTCGCTAGGCAATTTCAACTTCAGCTGGGGTTTGGCCTTCCATTTTTCCTCTAAGTGAGTAATGTTTCTCTCTCATGTCTATCCTTGATTGCAATTTCTTGTATGCTCTCCAGGTTAGGTAGCATCAATTTGATAACCATTAAAAATCAATGGTTTCACATGTTGCTGTTTGCATTGCATTGGTTTTGTGCAGCCAGTGTTTGGTCAGTTTGTGTTCTCATGGCATGTTGAAAAAAGTAATAGTGGATTAACATACATATATATATATATATGTATGTATATATATATATGTATGTATATATATGTATGTATGTATATATATGTATGTATATATATTTTTTATTTTATTTTATTTTATTTTATTTTATTTTATTTTATTTTATTTTATTTTATTTTATTTTATTTTATTTTATTTTATTTTATTTTATTTTATTTTATTTTATTTTATTTTTTTTAAAGACAGGTAGATGAAAACTCACTTGGTAAAGCTGACCAAGGGCCTACACCAAATCTGTGGCAGCAAGTCAAATTTTATAAGCAGTCAAAATGTGTGCACTCATTCTCATCAGGAAGAAACTGATTTCTAATATTTTAGGTAGTTACTTTCAAATAAAAACATATTTATTTTGTCCTAGGGCTGTGAGTCCCCTGAAATTTCTCTCTGTAAGAGCCCATTGTTCAAAGTTGCATGGTCATCCAACTGCCATCATTTATGTTTCACATGCACATTACAGATATATGAACCATTATTCTAGGTATTTTCTCTTGATCCTAGTTCCTGCATACTTCTCTCCAGCTGAGCAAGTATGCAGGGAAAGAGTCTTTCTAGTTTTCCCTTGATCCTTTAGTTAAAAAATAGCATCCAAAGGAGACACTTCACCTAAAGATCCCTGAACCCTGTGAATATAAAACTCATTTCATTCTATCTGCAACATTGTTTTTAGATGTTCTTACTATATCAGATAAGCTGGATTTTTTTGTGAACATTTGTTTAAATATTTCATTTTCTTATGCTTTAGACAAATGCATTTTCTATTTTAAAGTGACATATCATGTCTGGAAGTGAATCTATCACTATTTTAGAGTCTAAAGTTTGAAGAGTGAAATGGATCGAAAATGCTTCAGTTACCCTGAGCTTTTTCTCCATTTATTTGGCTCTTATATATAATATTTGTAACAACTAGATAGACTTTTTTTGTCTCTTCCCTTCAGTTAAGGAACAAACTTAGCGAAGAATGAGAAAATATTTTCCACTTACAACTTAAAAGTATCTCTGCCACATAAAATCATAGACTTGTTAAGGTTGAAAAAGACTTCTAAGATCATTCAGTGCAGTTAAACTTCATATATTTATTATATTTACATTTAATTTGTCAATAACTAACACATGAATAGGAAAAAAAATCAAATTTTATGTTCCCTATGTATTTAAATACATAGGGAAAAAAAGCCCTGAGAAAAAGTGTTTTCTCTCTTCACTTTATATCTGTGTCCCTCGGACACTGGGCATTTTAACAAATAACCACATAGCTTCTTTCCACTTCCCCAGAGAAGATGGAAGATGCACTTATGAAGTCTCTGATGACATCCAGAGGAAAAAATTCTTTGAAAGTTACAATAAGGTCAGGCTGAAATGCCACAGGGCCAGTGCCTAAAAGGCAGCAAACATAATGCTAAAATATGCAAGAAAGCATTCTTGTATATTATATATATTCGTATCTACATGCTTTTCTCCAATATTATAAATACTATTTTAAATAACTTTTTTATTCCACAGGCATGATTGGATGTTAATTACATGGAATCTGTGAGGTTTTGTAATATTTTTAAGGCCTTAACTGGCTTTGAGGTATTAGACAATTTATTAAAAAGAAACAAATCTTACAGTCTTATGGTAAAAAGACCAAGAATATACCCTTTCATGTTGACTTTAAAATACTAAAATGATTTTTTTTTAAATTTTGCTTCTGCACTATCATTGTACTGTGATATATGACAGATTTGATGAATGGATGTTAATTACCGGTGCATGCCTCAGCAATACTGAATGAAAATCAATGTTAATGTGTCTTCACCTAAACTTTTAATAATGTGCCTCTGGAGGACCAAATTCAAATAGCACCAGCCAGCAACCTCTGCACAAACAGGTTAATTTATGATTCAAAATATATAACTACACAAATAGAGGTGTATGCAGCTCAGGAGCAGACAAGCTGTAAATTTATATTAGATAAAAATACTTATGTCAGCATTTCTTAAAAAAAAAAAGGGGGAAAGAAATAAAATAAAATGAAATAAAGTAATTGAATAATTTTCTCCTATTCTGTCTCTGTTTGTCAGTGGAAAATGCAGAATCACAAAGGACTACACCAGTAGAAGAGAATTTGAGACACAAGTCACTTGAACTCCAACTTATATGCTTTCTTTTACCTTCATTTTGAAGGCTTTAGAATAGAATTAGCTTGTAAAAGTTAATGAATTTGTTTAGAAAATGTCAAGTGGATGGACTACAATATGAATTTTTTAGAAGAAAAATAAGAACACACTGATGCTGATTTTTCTCATATCACAAGCAGTTTACAGAAAGCACCAATCTTACTCTGTCCATGGAACTTTACATTCCAGATATTGAAGACCTGACACGGGGAAAGGAAAAGCAATACTGAGAGGTTATCTTTTAGAAAAAAGACCATTGAGGTTTCAGCTGAAAGTAGTTGAATACTGAGATCAGGCTGAAGTATCCTTTTGGAAAACTTTTGAGAAGAGCATATTTATTATTATTGCGATTTTCATATATCGCCAAAGGTGCAGAGAAAATGAGGTCACAACAGACAAGAGGCACAAAACTGCAATTTCTTTTGTATCAAAGTGACTCTCAAGGGCTTTCTTAAACAAGAGTGAGAAAGATGGTGTACTAATTCATTATTACTTTAAGATCTGAAGCAGGAAAAGACAAGTAGCACATAGTTGAGGAAGCCTCGTAACATTTCCCTAAACATGCTGTGTTGATCCCATGCATTTCAGACTCCTTAGGAATGCAGCCTAAGCTCAGTGAAACAGCCTTGGACTCCATGTCTTCAAAAGGAGATTCCTAAGGAGAGATATGGTGAAGGTCCTTAACTTCTTGTTCACCTTCTCCATACAGCTCATTAAATAATTATTGTCTAGTTCTCATAGCAAGGACTAGTAGACAATAAAAACACCAGCCAGGGCCTGTAAACAGAAGATAATACCTTTTCACTAAGAGCATATCTATAAGCTCTGGAACTTATGTTTATAGCTTATTGCCTGTTGCATGCCAAAAATACCAAAAGAAAATCAGACCCATTTGGCTGAAGACTGCATAGAAGGCTGTTAAATGAAGAACTGTGTATACAGTCTTAGCATCCCTAAGTGAGCTATTCTCAGAAAGTGGGAAAATGCTAGTAGAATTATATTTGGTCTCTTACAGTGGATCTGTAAGCTTTCTTTAGCAGTCACTGTCAAAAACTGGTCAGGTGGACCTTTGCTCTCAGTCAGTACAGCTATTTTATATTAACTATCCTTTCTCTATGTGCTTTTATTCTGCCTTTTGTGTAATTTTATTTAGGGCAAGATTTGTCAGGAGGAGGATGAAAATGCACATCTCAAACCTCAGTGACTGCCAGCCATATTGCGTTTTGCATTTTTGAACTTTCTTCCATTGGTTTTTATTGATGAACTGTTGTTATTGCATTGATTTGTTATGGTTCCTGCTTATGAAATTCAAGTTACCATTTATTGTTTGAAATTTTAGATTTATTTCTGGATATATTGAGAAGAAATATTATGTCACAGATAGCAAAATTAGAACTACTTTTTTCTTGTCTAATAGTAATATGGCCATTCAGTTTGGCATTAGAATTACTGTCCATTTATTAAATGTTTAATTTTTGAAGGTAAGGATCTATAATTTCCTGGAAGAGTGAAAATAACAATGTCCACAATAGCCAACAACTACTGTCCAAACCCCAAATATTTATACTGAGGTGCTTGAAATATTTCTGTCCATTTTGTTTAGTGGAAAGGTATTGAAATAAATTGTTGTCAAAATATGCTTGGATAAACTTTTGAGAACTAAATATCACAAACTTTAGACTACTTCTGGCTTTGGATAATAAGTAAGATGTGCAATTTACAACCACAACAATTTTACACTGCTTTTCAAAGAATTTTAAAAAATATATTTATTTCAAAATATTTTATCACATCAAATTTTGATTAAGATATGCGGGTTTTTTTCATAATTACATGAGGCTTATTCTGCCAAGTTATTTATGCATTTCTAGTTTTCAAGAACCCTTATTGATCTACAGTCAACATTACAGGGGGAAGTTTATCAATTTATCTTGAATGCTGGTGCTAAAAACCCTCTTTAGAATATACTTAATTTACCTAATTTTAAATGTGTACAGCTAATGAAACTTGATCTAGAGAATTTAGAATCTTTTTCTCTGAGCTTTTGAGGGGAAACCACAGACATGTTTAAATAGGAAGACTTGGAGGAGGAAAAAGGAGGCATGATTATTGTGTCTGTTATGCAATACAGTCTCTCTGTCTTTCAAAACATCTGGGTCCCAATTTATCTCTAAATAATGCTTATTCAGTGTTTAGTAGATTTCAAATTACTTTGTGAAAAGGATCCAAATCATTATCAGATAAAAGACAAGGAAGTGATTTGTCCAGAATTTTGCACAGAAAAGAATACATATGTCCTAAATTTAGTCAAGTTGCTAAATGACACCAACTTTCTGAATTACCTCAGAATTGTAAATCTGTTCCTAATTCCCACTCAGTTGTATTGCAATGCTTTTAAACCCAGGCCATACTTTCTTGTTTTGCAAGGGCAGGGATTGGCAGGCTACAATGTGTCCATGATTCTTTATTAAGCAGTAATATTCATTACTTTTTTGATTAAACATATAAAATACAGATGGCTGATAAATCTGAGGGTTAACTGTGGCTTATAGGCCCAGAGTGTTTGGATAGCCTTTTTGTGTGAGTTTTTAAACAAATGTGTATGACTGTACATATATCTATATAAATATCTATATATATTCATGTACATAAATATATGGATGCACACAGTCATATAACACAGTAATACAAATAATAAGTGATATCTGTAAAGTTGGCAAGCCTTGACTGAAAATCTCAATATAAATCAAAAGAATAATTAAAAAATTAAGAAAGATGACAGAAGTTTATTTTTAATATAAAATTGTTGGTTTGCTAAAATCTAATTTCAGGTTTCTATAACAAATATATCATTAACAATTTTACTTTTTTTGTGATAACTCTGAGAATTTCTGACATTTTTGCAACTATTTTTTTAAATTTCTTTTGAGATTGTCGAGCCACTATTAACTATAGTCTCCTTTTAGGATTACTTAGAGACATCTTCTATTCCTCTTTAGAATAAAAATTCCAAAAGATACTCAGTCTTCTACCAGGAATTCAAATCCCAGTTTCCCCAATCTGAAGACACTAGTGTCTTTTGAGATCACTTTTTAAAACAATGGCACCCTGAGGCAATGTGCCAGAAGCAATAGTGTCTGCAATTAGTGTCACATTCAATCTAGAGCAGGAGTATAATGTGTTTTGTTTTTACAGAAACCTTATTGGCTATGTAACTCAATGTTATGATGATGTTTTAAGAAGTCCCAAGTCATATACCCTGAAAAGGTCTGTATGCTCATTAAAGAATGGATCTTAAAGTATCTTAAGGAATTGGAACAGAAATTGAATTTATGTTTAAAGAAGTTTGCCAGAGAAATTTAGCCTTTTAAAAAAAATAAAATTTGGTGGTGAAACGAGAGAGTAGAATTTCAGTGGAAAAAAGCAGTGGCTCAAGAGGTATTAGTATGTTCAGATGGCAGTAGAAAGAGCAGGTTAATTTCCATTATTGACAAGTTATTTTAACTGCTGGGGAAGCTGAAGTTCCCACTCTGTGAACATCTGTGAAGAAATTCTCCTTCCCCACATGGGATGTTTCTGTCCTTCCAGTTCTCATGTGCTCTCATGCAAGACTCTACCTGACCCAGGATGCCACACCCAAAGTCATGCTTGGTATGCAAAGCTAAATGAGGGCACGCTGCTCTGCATATGCCAAAGTGGGTGTTTGGGTTTGAGCCTTACTTTGCTTGCAGTTCACACTGTCGAGCTTTTGTGTCCTTACAATTGTAGATTTTGGTTGTGACTTTCACAGACAAATAATCTGGATATGTAAATAGTATCTTTTGATATGACACCTCTTGGGAGGACATTACCAGGACAGGAATTTAAATACTGAGAACCAAAAATTAGCAGTGGTGAGACAGTGCACAACTTTTAAAAGCATTTTTCAGATTTGAGTATATGAGATTTCAGATTTCAGTGTTTGAGTCTTAATTTATCTTATACTTTCACAGAGCAAAGCCAGACAACTTTGATCAAGCATTTTCAATGATGGATTAATTAATCTGTGTCATTATTTTGAGTGGAAATATGTTATTAAGCACTCAACAATAGAGGCATCTCCCATAGCTCATTTCTGGGCTGAGGACCCCAGAACTGAATGCAGAACTCCAACTGGGGTATCACCACAGTGAAGTAGAGGAGAAAAGTCACCTCCCTGAACCGGCCAGCCATGCTGCTTTTCAAGCAGCCCAGGATATGGAGCTGGCAAGTGCACATTGCCAGCTCACATCCAGCTTTGCATCCACCAGCACTCCCAAGTTCTTCTCAGCAGAGCTGCTCTGGATCTGTTTATCCCCCTACCTGGATTGATAACTGGGATTGCCCTGACCCAGGTGCAGCACCTTGTAGTTGACCTTATTGAACATTATTAGATTCCTATGGGGCACTTCTCAAGCTTGTCCATCCCTGGATGGCATCCCATTCTTCAGGTGGTCCAGCCCACCACTCAGCTTGGTGGCGCCTTCAAACATGCTGAGGGTGCACTCAATCCCTTCGTCTGTGCCACTTACGAGCATACGAAACAGTACTGGTCTCAATGCAGACCCCTGAGGGACACCTCTTGTCACTGATGTCCATTTGGATAATGAGCTGTTGACCACTACCCTCTGCATGTGACCATACAACCAATTCCTTATCCACTGAACAGTCCATCCATCTCTCTCCAATTTAGAGAGAGGGATATTGTGGTGTACCCTGTTAAAGGCCTTACAGAGTCCAAATAAAATGTTTTAAATTGCATAAAGAAAAAAAGAACGGTAAATATCAAAGATCTCAGTAGAGATTATGCGTTTCTATTTTTACATATTAAGAAATATTTTCTTTTTTTTTTTTTTTATTCAATTGATGTTTCTTCTTTATAGGTACTTAGACCACATCTTAAGGTTCTTAAAGATTGTGGGAAAACAATAGGAGTACTTCTGTCTGACAAGCAATATATGAATTCATTCATTTGGTATTTTTGAGGATGCTTAAGTCCCAAGAATATGTGCAAGAACTAGTTACTGCATAAAAGTACTGTGAAATGAGCTGCATTTATATGTCATTTATTGTGTTTATTTTGAGGAATACACCAATTGTGACCACTGTTGATAAAGATACCATTACACAGATGTCCATGGACTGGTACATCTTCAGAAAAAAGCTAGCTGTATCTTTCTCAGAGACTTGAAAAATGGCATCAGCAGAGATGATAAAGGTAAGTCACTGTTGAAGTATGAAATTAGCTTCCTTAAAAGATTGTAATGATTCATAATCTTGGTTTTAATCCTGTAAAAGGGTATTGTTACTTGTAATTTCCCATTGCAGACAAGAAAAGAAAGAAAAGTAAAGGACTTAGTTCAAGTGATAATACAAGCAACTTAGGTTTTACGTGTTTTGGCACTTTTTTTGACAGGACTCAAGAGGAGAAAAAAAAGTAATGTATCATAGCCTCAAGGGAAAGCAAACCAGCTGTCAGCTTAAAGGAAACATTCGTTAAATTATTTCCTATAAAGCTTTTGTTAGACCACAACAGTAAAGAAGCCCCAGCATGCTTTTGCATACACAGATTCTATTACAAATCATCTCTGCACACTTACTTGTGTACAAAGTGGACCTTTCTCATGGGTCATATGCATGTTCCTATCTCAACTGCTAAATTAAAAAGACCCTTAATCTCCCAGCTCCTACCAAGTAATACTATCCTCTGTCAATTTCTTTATTTTTCTATCCTTTTTCTGTTGTCCTCCCTTAGCGATACTGTTGTTCTGCTTTAGCACTTTTTTGCACACTGTGAACAATCTACACTTCTGTGCTTGCAATCTTTTTCCAGTTTTTCATTCCCCCAAGCAAATCTCATCAATCAATGAGCAAAACCTCAAGGTGATACAAACCAGATACATTCTAAAAAGAAATAAAATAAATCCAGATTATCAGCTCATCAGCATCCTTGGTTTCTCAAACACTAATCCATACAAAGTACCCAACAGAGGTGACTGCTTTCAATGTGAAAAGCTAATCTGTTTGCATGCTGTAAAGGATTAGGTCTCATACATGTTCAGCCTTGCCTCAAGCATATGTTTCTTCTCTTTCTTACTTACATATATTGGTCCACCCTAGGTGAGCCAAAAAACGTGAAATGATGCAGTGCAGAACATAGAGGTTTGTCATTCTGTTTGTCTTCAGTTGAACTAAGAATTATACTCTGCCTTGGAGAGCCACAGGCTAACACTTTATCCAGGCCAAGTGCCTGTTCTGCCTTCAGTGGGACTTCTCACACGGAGTCACAACTTCCTTTTGGTTGTATTTTTCAAGTCATATGCACTGCCTGTAATATCTGGCAGAGCCAGGCTCTGCCTGGGCTTTAGAGCCCATCAGCATGGTACCTTGCATCCCAACAGTCCAGCCAGCAGGCGAGAGAGGGGATTCTGCCCCTCTGCTTCTCCTTGGTGAGACCCCACCTGCAGTGCTGCATCCATCACTGGGATCCCCTGCATTGGAAGGACATGGACCTGTTGGAGCAAGTCTGGAGGAGGTCAGCAAGTTGTTCAGAGGGAAGGAGCACCTCTCCTGTGGAGAAAGGCTGAAAATGTTGAGATATTCAGCCTGGAGAGGAGAGGGCTTTGGAGTGACCTAATTACACCCTTCCAGTACCTGAAGAGAGCCTCCAAGAAAGATGAAGAGAGACTATTTACAAGGGCACATAGTGACTGGGCAAGGGGGAATGGCTTCAAACTGAAAGAGAGTAGGTTTAGATCAGATACTAGGAAGAAATTCTTTACTAGAGAGTGGTGAGGCACTGGAATAGGTTTTCCAGAGAAGCTATGGATGCCCCAATCCTGGAAGTGCTTAAGGCCAGATTTTATTGGGCCCTGAGCAACCTGGTCTAGTGGAAAGTGTCCCTGCCCATGGCACAGGAGAAGGAGCTAGATGACCTTTAAGGTCCCTTCCAGCCCAGGACATTCTATTATTCTATGATAGGTTGTTTCAGTCTGCCACAAAATTTCCATTGCATCATACTGAGACATATCTTAGACAATGGATTGCATTTTAGAACCATTTGTTCCCTAGAAATCTTCCCTTTTCAGGAAGCAATTCCTGAAAGCAATGCATAATCCATTATCAATGAACAAAATAATTGATCAGGAGATGCTGCTTGAATTTCAGTAACTAATTTGGCCATTTCCTGCTAGGCTTTCTCAATTGCTGAGTATTTCCTCTTCGTGCTCTAACAAGCATGTGTTCAGTACTCCTCCCAGGAGCATGAAAACTGCTTGATGATATTTCTGATACTTCTCTTTTGTGTATGTCCATTTGAACAATTCATTGTGTAGAGTGTACATAATTTCTCTTTGAGCATCAAAAAGGTTTTTTCCTCAGGCCACTTCCTAAACTATTGTTTTCAGGATCCTAATGAATTTTAATGTCAGAGGAACTAGGGTGGAAAATATGGTTTTCCTTAAAACCTGGCCTTAGGTTCCTTAAAATCTGTCTAAATTAGTCTCACAACACCCAAAAATAAAACTGCGCGCCTTTTTTTTGTTTTCAAGATTGCCCAATGATATAACTCAGCAACTGAGTCATAAAAGAGCTATCTCACAAAGAAGAGAAGCACATTAATCATGTTGACAGTGAGAGCTGTGCTTCATAGATAGCAGCTCTATGCTTACTGCCATTACAATGGATACTCATCATTTTAGGTACAGACTGCATCCTTGTCTAAGGGGGCAGCTGTTCATGCACAAGTGTCCTGAGCCAGAACGCAATCCATAAACTTTTGAAAGAGGATAATCCAGGACCAAAAAGAAGCAGAACAAGTCTTCATCCAGGGACTTATTTTTGTAAACAAGAAACTGGATCTTCCACAATTTTTCCAAAGATTTCACATTCACTTTTCTAAATCAACAATGAAACAATTTATTTCATCTTTATTTTACAGATTTCTGCATTATCTCAAACCATGAGCTATATGTAAAGTCTGTAATTACCCAGTCTCCATAAGGACATAAGCACATTGCCATCTGCCAAACACTGGCAAATATATTGCCTGTCTCAATTTGGGATTTTACAGACCAACTACTGTTTCAGGCCACACAGGGCACTTCTGTGGTGAAAGCAGAATCTTTCTCTGTACAAGGCTGCAGAGAATCAACTACTGATTTGCTTTGTGTTAATGTGATGGGCTGATATTTAGAATGACTTACTGAATGTGATAAGAATTCCAAAAGCATCAACAAGACATGTTTCTGCTCACACCAACGTGATCTAGTGTAGCCTCCTTCACACAGTCAAGTCCCATTTCCTCACCTGCCTAAAAGGCAGACTGAGATTTACCTGTCCATGAAGGAAATAAAAATACAGGCTCTTGCACACAGGAGTCTCAAAACCAAAAGCTTCTCATATTTTTATCTGACACCGTCTTGGAGTAGGGATTTTAGGTATGTACAGTCAAGAAGCCTTTTATTTCTACCAGCACCAACCTGTGGATTTTGTGCAGCTGACTGTTCATAGGCTTCGTCTCATTCTCTGCTGTCCTCATGTCTCCTCAGTGAGCCTGTCTTTGCGCCACAAAGGATCTGGATTGTTACAGCTCACAGTCAGGTAACCATGACTCTCTAACCTGAGCAATTTCCTCTACAGGCCTTCAGCTCCATTGGCCAAGCAGATGGCTCTTACACTTCATCCACTGAGAGGGAGAGCTGCTCTCCACAGCATGGAGGGGTTATGGTGCTTTCTGCTCAAGCCTCCTCAACCTTGCTAAGTGGAATATGTTTCATTTGTTCAAGGAGACAGAGTTTGTCCTCTGGCTATCAGTAGTTCTTTCATCCTGTTGGCTCTGTCTAGCTCAGGTGTCCTAGTAGATACTGTTGAAGATCCATTTGTCTCAGAAGCAGCTCTGCTATTTTCACTAAAATATTCCAAATAAAATCTAGTCAAATATTTTTTAAAACATTCTGCAGCAACCTTTTCAGTATAGTAAAATTATAAGCAACTGACCTACCACCCTCCCTTTAAACAATTGAAGAACATCTATAGTAACCATTATCCTTAGCTCCCCATGTAATAAAAATAGATTGTCTCAGTGCACCACATATAATATGCTGTAGATCTTCCTTCTTCCTTGAGGCATTAAACTATGAGGCATTAAACGATGCTTCTTTTTTTTTTTTTTCTATTTTTATTTTAATTTGCTTTATTTCCCAGTTTTTAAAAACTGTTTATTTGGAGATCTGCTAAATTTAAATCTCACTGGAAGTTATACTGAGATTTTTTTTAGCTTACCTACTGCTAATCTTATTCTTAAGTTAGTTGACATGCAGTTTGTTCTTCAGTAGTTAATGGAAAGTGGATTCTGACACTTGGTGAGTACTTTTCATCTGGCCTCCTGCTCAAACACATGCACACAAAGGGTTGGATTGAACTCATAAACACTAGATATGTCTGTGTTTAAACTGGTAGTTAGGCTGCTAAAAAAAAGTGACTTGAATTTTCCAAGAACTAAATGGTAGGCATCTAGACTTCACATTAGAATGGGTCATAATTTGTGGTTTACTTTGAGAAAAAAAGAGTAATGGTTAGCAAATATATAGCATAAGGATAAACAAAGATCTGAGTTTTAAAAAATCAGCAATTTGATAAAGGTACAGACTTTAAGGAAAGCAGTCAACAGTTCCATCAGGTGTTTAATTCTGGTTCACAAAATTGTAATTCAGATATTTTTGAAAATTGTGTTAATCACAAATTTTTTTTTCTAGTAGTATATATATATAAATAATGAGAAAAAAACCCAAACAAAATACAATTGTATTTTTCAAGGAACTCCAAAAAGTTTCTGTAGCATCTGCCCCATTATAAATTGACTATATTTGAATTTTTATTAGGCATACCATAGATATTTTGTTTAGCTAGATTGAATTTCTGAGCAATCTGCAAGGCAGTTAGAAGCAACCATTAAAATGACCACATAAAGCAAACAAAAATTACTTCTCTTCTTTGAAGTACATATACGTTAAATATGAAGGTACACCTCTTTTATGCCTACTTCCAGTTATACAGAACAAAATCCCTGATGATTTCAGGAAAGAGCATATGGTCTGCCTGATTTTTTTATCCTATTTTGCAGCTCAAAAAAACAGTTATCTAATGTTAGCTACTAATTTTGCCTCCATCTTTTTATTTATGAGAGCGTTCTGTATACAGATTCATTTTACTTGCTCTATGTTTACTATTGTTGCATTTTCTAATAAGCAAATGCTTCAGGACTGGTACACAATGCAATTTAGTCCCAGATTTGTAGAAAGAAAGAACCCAAGTACATCTTGATAGAATTAATTTCCAGCTATTGTTTCTGAAAGTCTCTGCAGTGCCCTTTCAGCAACTGCACATTCAAGAAGCCATTGCTCTTTCTTCAGCAATCAGAAAATACCTCTGCCACAAAGTTTTGCTCAGTGAGGGCAAGGCTGCTTTCTGCAGTGATGTCAACAAATAAGCGCTGTTCTTCAAATCCTGACCTTTAAAAAGCACATTATTAAAACTAATACATTATCTTACAGAGACAGTAGAGCAAACAGAACGAGGCTTCTCTTTACCAGAAGATACCATTGCTCTTCACCCAAAGCTTCCAAACTTTGTGAAAGTGCCAGTTTTTCATATTTAGAACTGTCTGCACTAGCCTTGTTTGCCATGCCTGGGTAGGCGGATCTGCACTAAGGAGCAGGTTTTTTCCCATTCCCAGATGAGCTGACTAGCACAGCTGGTTGAAGACAGTTAATTGCTCTTCATGATGATTAGAATGTTGTTAAGGTTCTCTCAGAGGGAGAGAAAAGAACATGCATGCGGTTTGAAAGGTCATGGTGGAAACAAGATATAGCAGGCACAAGATAGTGTTATATTGACAAGTGTT